ATTGAGTCAAGTGGGGATCTCTGGAACATTTCCCTGGTGCTAAGAAAGCTTGAACTTCACCTTAAAGCAAGCATGATACATTACAAGAGTTAGAAAATTTGGATTACTATTGACACTTTCATTTTACAAATACTGAAAACAGTAATGTGAACCGAGGATTGGAAAATCGGTGAGAATAAGAGAAGGAAGATGAAAGTAAAAGAGCTACTGCAGATCTTCAAACACATAAAGATGGCAAATAAGCAAAGATGTGTTGTAGCAAATTGAGGGAGACTCTGCAGAGGACCAAAAGGAATGGGTAATATCAAAAGCACAACTTAAAGATGGTGGGTTCATCCACCGCCACAACCAGGCCCTCACTGAATACCCTGGACACAGTGACCAGCTCTCATCTCTTCTTACAGACTTCTCCCCACCATTCATCCTGCTTGTCCAAAGGCTGTTCAGTAGCTATCTCAGGAAAACAATGGAAAAACTGCATTTAAATATTGCTCAACAGCCCTTTTACCTATAGTCTCTGCCACCTCAGCTGATAAGAATTCCTTCTAGTGATTTAGCCAAGAATCTCGAAAAACATCTATGACTTCTGTCTCCAATGCTTCCATTCTAATGGGTAGTTTCACAGCAGACCCAGAGTGTACTTTCATTTAAAACCTGTATTACCGCTCTCTGGCCTAGTAGCTAGCTAACAAACTCCCACAGTGACTTCCCTGGTCCTCCTGTTGTCAGGCCACAGGATGCTGTAGGCTGAACCTTCCTAGCTGAGTAGGTTTCACATCACTACGAGAAAGAAGAAATAAATAGGGACAATAGTGCATGTATTAATAGGTTTGATTTATTCATTTCAACAGTTACACATATATCAAGACATCATGGTGTATAACACAGATGTTCACAGTTTTGTCAATTCAACAATGATAGATTCTATACTGTGGTGTAGTGCTGCTTGTCACTCCAGCACCTGAGCTGATTGGAGTGCAGGAGTGCTCTGATTCCCACCCGCTTTCCTGTCACATCATCCATCAAGGGAATGGAAGAGAGCCCTAGTACTTGGGTCCCAGCCAAACATGTGGGAGACAATGCCAAAGTTCTCGGCTGCAGGTTTCAACCTATTCCAGCCTTGGCATTTGCAGCCATCTAAGCAGTGAACCAATACATGGAAGATACTGTCTTTATGACTGTCTCTGTCTGTCTTTCTGTCTCCATCTTTCTCTCTTATTTGCCATTTAAATCAACATCTTTTCCTAAAAATAATTTTTAAAAGAATGCAAAAGATATAGAAGTCAGAGTGATCATTAAAAAAAAAGTATCATTTTAGTGGTACACTGTTTATTTAAAACCCTCAATTTCTCACTTAGAAGAAAAGCCCATCACAAAGAACAGGCTCCAAATACGTCTGCAGATCTTCAAGGCCCTGTGTATTTGCTTCAGCTTTCTTCCAAACAGACCAAACACATGCCCCACTAGGGAGTTTGTAATGGCTGAACCTCTGTGTGTAGGAAGCCTCTCAAAGCAAATGGGGCTACTTTCTCTCCTCAAGTCTTTACCCAAAGGTTATTTGCTCTAAGAATCCTTCCCGATCCTGTCTATTGCACATATTCCCATCCTGGCATTCTTAAAGTTCACCTTCCCCTGTTCTTGCTCAGATAGATGTATTTTTAAATATTCTCAATAGATAACACAAGTCATGAAAAATGCTTCTTTGCTGGCTTTACTGTTTATCTTCTCTACTAGAAGGCAATTTAATCAAGGGCAAGGATGTTATATGTCCTATTTAGCAATACAACCCACCTCCTAGGAGCTCAGAAATGCAGAAGGCAATCAATAGAACGTGTGAATAAGATCTGAACAATGACAAAATTACTTACATCAAAGGTTGATTCAAGATAATAGATAATACCCAAGAGACATTTAGCACAGGGTTTAAGGAAAATTGAAGGTAAAGTTGCCTAGGAAAAATATGGAGAATAGATACAAAGAGAGCAGGGCACACTGGAAGCGTCAGAGCCAGTAGAGGAGGAATTCTGTTCTGTTCCATCATCATTGCAAAGCCATTGTCAAGCTTTCATTTTCAGCAAAATTGACCCATGGACAGCATTGATCCCACTGAGAAACTAATTTCTCCAGGCTCTATAAAATCATACTCCCTTAGATTTCCTCCAGCCTAACACCAGATTTAGAAAAAAATGTCTGAATAATGTGGGGATATATCCAAGATTTGAGACAGACTTATCGTGATTCAACACAGTAGGGCCGTGTGGTTTTATGGGCTTCATCAACACAATAGAATACAAGGTGCAAATAAATGAACAGGAATGATTCATATTTGAATGTGAAGGACAAAAAGGTCACACAATAGGGCATATAAGTAAAGTAACTGCAGTCAATCTCCAGTTTTCCTGGGGTTTAAGTTCTTTATATAAAACTGTAATGTTTGCATCTAACCTATAGAAATATCCCCAGGTAGCTTAATTCTTTTTGAGTTACAATAACTAACACAATGCAAGCATACATACATATTAGCTATACTGTAGTATTCAAAGAGTAACAGGGTAAAAGTTCATAAATTTTCAGAACAAATACTTTCTTTTTTCCAAATATTTTCAATCCAGAATTGATTTGATATCTGGATACAAAACCTGCAAGTACAGAGGGCTGACAGCTCATAAAACCTACACACAAAAGGAGTTAAACCTGAAATAAATGGCTAGATTTGACACACAGTTTAATAATCCTGTAAGAGCAGTCAAAATGTAAGTAATGGAAATGAAGTTCTAAGGTTAGCACTTTTGTTTTAATTTTTAATATTATTTTGTTTGAAAATCATGGAGAAATAAAAAGAATCATCCACCCACCAGTGTGCTACCCCAATTGTCTGCGGCTACAAGAGCTGGGTCAGACTGAACTCAGTAGACTGTACTTCAATCCAGGTGTTCCACGTGTGTGTCAGATAGCCAAACACGTGAGCAATCATTGCTGTTTTCCAGAGTGTGACTTAGCAAGAAGGTAGAAACAATCAGGACGCCAACCATGGACTTTAAATGAAATGCAGGCTTCCCAAACAGTGTATTTTTTTAAGACTCATTTTATTTTTATTGGCAAGTTGGATATATAGACAGGAGGAGAGAAAAAGAGGAAGATCTTTCATCCGCTGATTCACTCCCAAAGCAGCTGCAATGGACAGAGCTGTGCCAATCCGAAGCCAGGATCCAGGCGCTTCCTCCAGGTCTCCTATGTGGGTGCAGGATCCCAAGGCTTTGGACTGTCCTTGACTGCTTTCCCAGGCCACAAGCAGGGAGCTGGATGGGAACTGGGGCTGCCGGGATTAGAACTGGTGCCCATATGGTATCCTGGCGTGAGCAAAGTAAGGAATTGGCCACTAGAATACCAAACTGGACCCTCAAGCCGTGTTTTTTTTTTTAAGGTTTATTATACAGAGAGGAGGTAAGACAGAGAGGAAGATCATCCATCCGCTAATTCATTCCCCCAGCAGCTGTAATGGCTGGAACTTAGCCAATCTGAAGCCAGGAGCCTGGAGCCTCTTCTGGGTCTCCCACCAGTGCCCATTTGGGATCCCACTGTGTTCAAGGGGAGGACGTTAGCCACTAGGTTACCACGCTGCCCGCCCCACAACCCTCACAAGCAGCGCCTTCACTGCTATCCCTGACGCTTGTCCCTGGTTAGTATTTTCAGTGTAAGATTCCCAGCAACCAGCCTAGCCTTTCAGGTCAGCAGAAAGACTCTCTTTTCTCTCCCTCCCTCCACCACCTCTTCTCTGTTCCATTTCAAATACATTTTTTTAATTGTATACAAATTAGGAAGACTCCAGCATTGAAGTAGCTGGAATACATAGGTTTCAGAGCACAAACATTATATCAGACTGCGAGAGACAAAGAATTGTGGCAACACAGAAATCCTAGACCATGACACAGCCATCCCTCTCATTAGGCAAGTTTCCTTCACATTGTTGGAAGTGTATAATGGCTGTAGAAACTGTTGTAGAAGACACCAAGAAGATAGAGGACTTCGACACGGGGCATCACAGGATTGTTCAAGGGCATAAGAATGTCAAGGGATAGTATAAGCATCCTGGGCTCAGTGATTCAATGAACAAGATAAAACACAGGAAATTTTTATGGAGTAATCAGTGTTTGCACTGAATCTTGAAGGATGAAGAGGCTTTCAGCATCCAGGTTAAGGAGGAGCCACTGGGGAAAGGGATTGCCATAAATTACAGCAATAAATGTGTAAGAACAGAAGAAAAGGAGATAATTCTAAAGGGTAGATGTAAACTGTCCTGTGGTTGCCCATGAATAATGAAAGAAGCAGGTGTTGGTTCATATCTGATTTAGGAATAGTTAAAGGGAGCTCAGAGAACCAGTATTAAGAACACTGCAAAATATGGATACCATCTGGTGAAAGGTGGACAAATGGACAGAGTACACTCTGAGGTTCCAAGAGTGACATTTAAAAGACGGAAGAAGAAATGGATTGAAGGATGTACAAGTGAAGTGTGCTGTGGATACAGTCCTGAGAGTAAAATACACCATTAAACTGCATTACCCTCTCACAGGGGCAGGATAAAGCAGTGGTACGATAATAAGCTTTGGCAGAAAGTGCTTCTCATTCCCTTCATATCATTAAGGTGATTAATCCTCATCTCAGGGTGATTAAACATCACCTATTTTGTATAAAAATGATTCAGTTCCTTCCTTGAAACATGACAGGCTTCCAAGACACTTGATTGGAAACCAGTGTTAATGGAAGGAAATATACACAATGATGAACAGTCCACAGAGATGCAGCTAGTAATGCTTTCCAGTTTCTGTCGCCCAGGCAGGACACTGAGACAACATGGAATGGACAAAGGTGATTTGGAGATGAAATGCAAGAGAAGCATCCTACAGCTGCTTGCAAATAGGCCTCCTGGGATCCTCCTTCTCTGGGCCATTTGCACAGGTGTGGGGCAGTACACTCCAAAGCTTCTTAACCATCAGACTGTGCTCATTTCTGCAGCACATACACTAAAATAACTCTACAGAGAAGATCAGCATGTGCCCTGCTCAAGGATAAGGGAAAATTAAAGAAATGTTCTATATTTTTCAATTAATAAAAGCTAAAATAGGTATCATTTCAAGTGTCCATCAATTGATGACTGGATACCTGGCCATAAAAATGAAATTTTATCTTTTGCAAAGAAATGGCTGCAGCTTGAAATGAAACAATCCATTTCAACAGTGCACCAAGCATATGTTTTCTCTGATATTTAACAGACAATAGGAAATTCGAAAAGAGAAAAAAAAGGAAATCGAACTTTTGGATATGACTGTTGGTTTTAGCCATGTGGAATTGTGATCATCCTAGTTTTTACTTATTGAATATTATGATTAGTCGCTAATGAAGCTGTGAATATAGAGTGGATTAAAACTTTATCTTTGCAAATACTGATGAAATTAGGGCATCTACGAAGAGATGTTTAGGATAGTGTGGGAGAAAAGAAAGTCTGGTCATCGTCCAGGTACTCTATGAAATGCACTAAATCTGTTCTCTTTATATCAAAGACAAATTTTAAATGAAGAAATAAACAGTGAGACTGTCTGATGCATGAATGTGGGCAGACAGGTTAGTGACAGCATGACTCTGTCACATCATCATACTTCTCCACAGAGCCAGGCAGCCACAGGAGTATCAATCACTAGCCAATCTTCCAGTGCAGGAATATCAATCACCACCAATTCAATCTGCTCCCTTTGCCCTGAGGAAGTTCGTGGGAACATGAAGAAATACAAAGGAGAATGTGGACCACCCCTCTCGTGGACACAATAAGCTTGAAAAGAAACATTAGAAAAGCACAACAAGGAAAAAAGTAAATTCGCCCATCCACCAGCATATTTCATCTAAGCCCTGGAGGCTACAACTCCGTCACCTAGCAAGTTACTTGCAAAAAATGTTAGTGAAATTTGAACACCATGGAATAACTTTATAATCTTACATTCCCTTCATGCACCGTAATTTTATGACATCATGACAATGAATAATATTCTTCAGGTCAGATGCCTCCTTCCAAGACCATTTCCCTAAAAATCTCCCAAATGGGGTATTACAGACAATTTATATCTCTACTAAAACTTTGAGACTGAAAAAAGTAGAGGATATTTCAGAGAAAGACAGCACAAGGTGAAAATATTAGAACTCATGGTGTGAAGGAAAAAGAACAAGATTAGGTCCAATAGAGAGAAGAAAAAGACAGATGAAGGATAAAGTAAAAGGTCAGAAATGAAGGAAGGGTATTTTCATGCAGTGGGCTAAGCTGCTGCCTGCAATACCTGCATCTCATATGGGAGTGCCAGTTCAAGTCCCAGCCATTCCACTTCTGATCCAGCAACCCAAGTATTTGTACTCCTGTCATCCCTGTGGAAGACCTGGATACAATTGATCGTCCCTGTCAGCCCTAACTGTTGTGGGAACTTTCAGAACGAATTAACCCTTGGAAGATATACTCTCTCTGTGTCTCTATGTGTGTGTGTGTAAGTGAGTTTCAAAACAAATAAATGTTAAAATAGTAGTAAACTTGATATGATCTAAATTATGAGAATTCTAAGTAATATAGGATGCAAAGAAATATATAAGAAATTCCAAAGTGCAGAAAAAAGAAATATTCAATGAGCCTTTCTTACCTATGAAGTGTAGATACACTTTTTAAAAAGGAGACAGGCAAGATTAATTCCAGGGAGATGACTGAATGTACCAGGGGGGATCTCTGTCTAATGAGTGATATGTATCTCCTCTACCCTCTGAAATTTTCACAGAAATGTGATCAAACAACATAACATTAGGAAGTTCAGCACAACAAAGCTCCATGGGCTGGCACTGTGGTGCAGCAAGTTAAGCAGCCTGCAACATCAGCATTGGCTTCAGCATCACATACTACCAACTGAAATCTCAACTGCTCTACATCTCCTTCAACTCTCTGCTGATACACCTAGGAAAACACCAGAGGATAATACAAAAAAAGCTGTGAGTAGCTCATAACCAAAGTGGACTCCCGATCCAGGCAAACTGGGCCTGATTCAGCTGAAAGAAGACCGAAAATGGGAGAGAAGGAAGTCAAGGCTTTGCCTGGTGTGTGAGCCATACAGCCAGCAAAATTCTATACCTTTGTCCCTAGTGTCCATCATTTAAAGACTTGGCAGATGCTGACTTGAGGAGAAGGTGGAAGCCCATGTCTGAGCAGCTGGGGAAACTAAGTCATATTGAGCAAGGGGTTATAAGACCTCTTAGTCTGCACACAAACATGACCTTCTCTGCCTTGTTTTAATGACCAGGTAACCATAGTATTCATTTATAGGGGAAAAAAAAGGTAATAAAAGTTACACAAAAGAAACACACTGGAGGCACAGTATTGAGAAGTTTACTACAGGATGGGCATTTGGTGCAGCAGTTAGGGTATCGCCTGTGATACATTCCATATGAAAGCACCTGAGTTCAAATTTTGGCGCCTGTAACTTCCCACCAATGTTAACAACGGATGCAGCAGTTGTAACTCCAGTACTTGCATTTCTGCCACCCCCATCGGTTGTTCTAGATTGAATTCCAAGCTCCTGGCTTCTTCCTGTTTGAGCCCTGTCTATTGCAGGTATGTGAAGAGTAAACCAATGCATGGAAAACGTCTCTCTCTCTCTCTGACTCTCAGCCTGGCAAATAAGATTGAGTACCCATATCCCACATCAAAAACCTGGGTTTGAGTTCCATCTCTGCTGCCAATTCCTGCTTCCTGTCAACTGCAGTTTCTTGCTAATATTCATCCTGAATGGCATCGCTGATGGTTCAAGTAGTTTGGTTTCTGCCACTTACCTACAAAATTCTGAGCATCTTGATTGGCTTAGTCCAGCCCCAACTGCTGTGGTCATTCATAGAGTGAACCAATCTCTCTCTCTTTCTCTTCAAAATAAATGGAAATATTTTGAGATTGATAAATAAAATATCTTTAAAAATAAAACAATTTTGGCAAGTATATCTGCGCAATAATGAGAGAGAATACCAAACTATGAACCACTCCTTACATATGTGGATACTTCCTCCTTTAGTTTTAAGCTAGCTTTGGCAATTCAAATTCACCTTCTAAATTTATACATTGTGAATGTTATATTTCAGTTGGATCCACAAAACTGTTACCAACATCCAAATCTCACAATTTTCTGAATGTTCTAGGCCGGAACACCCTCTCCATTGAACCCATAAATCCAATTTCCAAACATGTTTGTCACCTGGGCCCTCACACTTCAGAGAAAACAAGAATCCACTTTGACTGAAGCTGCCCAGTGTGAATATTGTTTTTCTCTGTGCCCATAACTGTGGTTCTATTTTCTATTCCATTTCTGAATTTAAATCCCAGACAGATTACAGGAGGAAAGTCAGCCATGACTAGACAAGCTTCCTGTAATTGAAGAAGTGCATAGAGCTCTGTTCCTCACTAGGAGGTTGTTTGCTATTTGAAATCCTGGGCCTATTAGCCTTGCATTGAGAATAAATTGCTTCTATCTCAACTGGAAGCACAGAAATAAGCTAAGAGTAGATGAGCATTTAACAGAAGACAGTAAAATAGAGAAAGGTTTGAAGACACAATCATAATGACGGTTGCATGGAATTATTAATAAATACCGTTCTGGAGATAAATTCATTGTTTTAGTCAGTGTAACCTATTTACAAATTATAATCCTTGCCCTTTTCTTTTATACTGTGAATTCCCTATATAGCAGAACATGCCATATTGCTACACATGAAATATCCAGGAGTGTGAAGCATTATGAAAATTCATATAATTTGCATTTTATGATATATTTATTTATAATATGCCATGTTTTCTAGTAGTGTCTTCTGATGCTAGGACCTAAATTCCTTCCAATCTATGGGACAAAGAAGGGCTGAGTATTAATCAGTGTAGGCTGCCAACCTTCTAGTAGTCAGAACTTCAAACAAACATCCTCCACTTATATATAAACCATTGCCCACATACACTGCCATGCAAGCTGAGTCCCAGTCATTTATATCACAATCTGGGACTCAGTGGAGAGTCCAGACTTCAAATAAACACAGCATGAAAAAATGAAAAAATCAAATCCTCACACTGTTCTCCAGGAGCCAACAATAGTGAAGAAAAGTTGCTTGTGAGAACAAGCCAAATCTTTGCTTCAGATCATTGCTGCTATGTGTGCAAAGCTTGTATGATAGTCTACACACAGATGTAACACACTAACACAAACTTTGTTTTGCAGCAGCACGCCACTATTTTAGGCTCAGAAATAAACAGTGAAAAAATAAAGAAATCAGCTAGACCTAACACCACTCTCGATTCTAAAGCAACAGTGTGAAGCCAGAATATCACACCTGCTCCTGGGGTAAGCCTCATCCTCCAGGGAATTTAGAATCCTAATGTAAGAAGCAGAGTCTGGTGCCAGCTGAAGAGAGGGAGAAGTAGGTAAGTCAAAAAGAATTTGAACATCTAGGGCATTCTGATCATTGGGTGTAAGCTATTAAAATTATATTTATTTATATATTTGATAATTGCAGAGAAAGGCAAAGAAGAGGAGAGAGAAAAAAAAACTTGTACTTTCAACTCCACAAAAGGCCACAGTACCAGGGCTGGGTCTGGCAAAAGCTTGGAGTCAGGAGCCTATTCCAAGGCTCCCACCTTGGGACAGCAGCCACAAACCATGGGTCTATTTTCTAATCACTTTCCCAGGTCATTAACAGGAAGATACCAGAAGTGGAGCAGCCAGGATGTGAACCACAGCTCATATGGGATGCTGTGTATAACCCAAAGATCTTAAAAGGAGCAGAATAAATTATTTCATGGGTATTCATGCAGAGACATACTTCCTATGTTACAATTAAAAACTCAGGAGGTAAATGACTCACTGGACTCAATATGGAAGGCCATGTTGGGAGGAGTGACACAAGAGAAGGCACTCAGCTTTTAGTTTCCACCTGATCCTTACTTTGCTGTCACAGCTTCTCAATCTCTTTTGCCCTCCCTTGTTGATAACACATGAAGTTCCTTGGATCCATTTCTTATTACTCTGATCTTCCCCATTAACACTCAA